GGCGAGGAGGGAGGCTGGCATGGCAGGGTTTTGACGTGAGCCAGCCAAACACAGGCTTGTAGGCTTTCTCCGTGACGATTCTCCTGACGGGCCTTCGGGAGAGGATGGTGAGGGTCGGAGGTGGAGACCAGAAGCCAGTGAGGGGGCGGCTGTGGTCATGGAAAGACCAGAAGCTAGTGAGGGGGCGGCTATGGTCACGGTTCAGCTGAAAGAGGAAGTGGTCTCTGTGCAGAGGGATGGTTGGGTCTCCGGGTTGGTGTTCTCATTCCCCTGCCTCCAGGAAGCCTTCCCTGATTTCCTTCCTCTTCCTCTGGGACCTCCACTCTGGCTGTGGTGGTCCTGAAGCTCCATCCCGGGCCAGGATCGGACACGCCAGACTCCGAGACATGCTGGGACGCCGAGGCCCCGCGAGAGGGCACAGCAGGGAGTGTGCGTGGGTGGCGCAGCGGGAACTGGGTGCCCGGGCTCCTGCTTCCCTGAGGTGCTGGGTCCTCCCGGCTCCACTCCCCTCGCCAGCAGGGAGGCGGCTCCACCAGGGCCGCTGCCAAGGCCCCAGGAAAACACATTTTTTCCCTCTGGCCTCACAGAGGAAGCGGAGTGGCTCTGCAGCCAGAGAGGAGCCCGTGCCAGGGGGCAGGCCGTCTGCAGGATGTCCCAGAGTGGAGAGGGGAAGGGGGGGCAGGGGGGGCGGGAGGCTGGGGCTGCAGACTGGGCAGGGAGCTGTCAATCCCCCAGGAGTAAATTCGTTCTCCGTGCCTCAAAGAATTGCAGGAACCTGCAGAGCCTGGCACGGAGGATGCTCTCTGGCCTCTGGGGGAAGAAAGGTGGGGGGGGGGGGAGCATTGAAGAAGGAGCCCTGAGCTCAGGGGTCAGGACTCCTGGGTTCCAGCCCACCACTGCCACCAAACAGCTGCTCGGCTGTCTGTGACAACAAGGGGGTGGCCCAGCCCCTGGCTGAGGCCCGTGTGGCTGAGTGGCCGGAGGGCCGGGCCCCGTGGCACAGAGCGCAGCAGCCCGGCTGGGGCTGACAGCCTGAGGTTATCAGAAAGTTCCCCCTTCTTGTGACTCTGTGAGTGCCCGCTCTGCTGAGCTGGGGACATTCCTGGGCAAACATGAGAGCCTCAGCTGACATCCAGGATGTGGGTGAGGGGCCGAGGCCAGAACACGAGGAGGGAAGGCGAGGACAGGTTCGGAGCCTCCCGGGGCCCACAGGGACTCAGCACCCCCACCAGCCTGTGGGGGGGCCTCCGGGCACCCAGAACGGGGACCGCCAGCAGCTCCCCTCCCTGGCCTCCGGGAGAGGCTGTGCGGAGGAGGGCTCTGAGGCTGTGTCCACGCTCAGTGGGAAGCAGGGCTGTGGGCGAAGGCGGTGTCTGTGTGGGGAGTGGAGGGAGGGAGGATGGAGAGATAAGCGGACCGTTTGCCACTTCTGCTCTTGTCTGAGCCACTTGTGTGTCTCACACGAACGCCGTTATAATCGTCCCCATTTCACAAGGGGGGGCCCCACGGCGCAGGGAGGGAGAGTGACTTGTCTGAGGGACCAGTCCCCAAGGCTCTGCATCAGCCCTGGCACCCAGTGCTCAGCACCCAGCACCCAGCAGGCTCGGTGAACCCGTGCAGGGGGGGAGACTTGCCCTCTCCCCCGGGCCTCTCTGTAGAGCCCAGGCTGCGGCATCACCGAACCCCACACCCTCACCGCGGGCACGGCGGCCTGGCTGGCTGCTGTCGGTCCGCCTGCACCCATCCAGGCCGTCAGAGCAGCGGACCGTGGGGACGGAGAGGTGCCCTGTGAGGCCATCATGGGAGGAGGCACGTGGCTCGGCGTGGCCTCCATCCTGGGCGCCGCCCTTTTTAGCTGTGTGACCCTGGACTGCTCCCCTGACCTCTCTGGCCATCACCTCACAGGGCTGTTGGGAGGGTCGGGGGGTGGCAGTGTGAAAGGGACCAGGATTCAGTGTTCAGAATCCTCCTGATTTGGGGGGGAAGCGGCCACTCACCTGCTGTGTGGCTTCAGGCAAAAGGTGTCTTCTCTGGGCCTCCCCCCCCCCTTGGGCAAAGTGAGGGGGGCGCCCTTTCTGTGTGACCCAGCCAGCGGCCAGCGGGGAGACGCTGTGGAAGCGAGGGCCAGTGACTGCTGCAGGCCTGACCCTTCCTGGCCGGCCTCGGCCATTCCCATAACCCCCCACACGCGCACTGACCTGCCCTCGGCTCCACCAAGACTGGGCGCAGGCGCTGTGCTCCCAGATGGGGACGTGGAGACCAGAGAGGTAGGGCAGCTTGCAGAGGTCACACAGCCTGGAGAAGGAGATGGGACTCAACCCGGAGCTTGGCTTTCCATCCAGAGCCCCTTTCCTTGTTCCCCCTGCGGACCCGGGGCCAAGCGCCGTGAGGACAGAGCCCCTCCCGCGCCCGCCCCTCCTCTCGGCCTCTGTGACCAGCACTGCCACGCAGAAGCCAGGAGGCGGGTGAAAAGGAGGAAGAGCAGGGACGGGGCCAGGTTTTTCTCTCAGTGGCACTCAGCTGGGCTTGGGCTTGGCCCTGACAAGCCAGATGACGGACGGTGTCAGAGACCGCCCCCATCCACGCCCCGTGGGGCCTGCCCCCTGCCAGGCCCCGCACTGGCAACATCAGCACCCAGACCGCCTCGGCCTGGGTCCTGCCCGGGGAGCGCCCTGTCTGGTGGGCAGACGGGGAAGCAGACCATTACACCGAAGGGAGACGTGCTGGGTGGTCAGTGCCCAACAAGCCCTAGCAGTCAGGGAGGGCTTCCCGGAGGAGGAGGCATCTACACCCGCAGCTGCCAGATAGAGCGAGGGGTGCGGTGGCACAGGGTGAGGGCGGCACAGGGGCCAGAGGGACTGGAAAGGTCTACGTGGCTGGAATGCAGAACAGAGGTGGGCTGCGGTGGAGAGGGAGCCGGGAGCCGAGCGGGTGGGCCTGGCCCCGGCCCCAGGGCGGTAGAGAGCCGGGTCCGCATGTGGGCGATGCCAGGTCAGAGTCACAAGGTGGGAGGACGTGCTGACTGTATGTAGGACAGTGGACATACCGGGGCCTCCCCAGGTGTGTGCTGGGGAGGGTGGACTTTTCACAGGCCTGTGTTTTGGTGGGGTCTGGGGCAGGGTAGGGCCCTGGCTGGGGGCTCTCTGGGCCTCAGTTTCCCCCCAGCTGTCCCACAAGGAGCTCGGGTTGCTCCTGGAGACCCTCCTTGCCCGAGGGCCAGGGTGGCTGCCTGTCGGGGGATCTCTCCCAGGGCCGACTTCCCTTTCCTGCCCCACGCGCTTCCCCTGGTGTCAGGTCCCCTGGCTGTGTGGGCCGCGAGGGGCTGGGGATTTCTGAGAAGCCCTGGGCTGTCCCCACCTCGGCCTGAGTCACGCTGAGAACGCAGCTTCTGCTCTGGGCCAGGCACTGGGGACCCAGAGTGGGCGAGACACGGGTCTGTGCCGTCCTGAGCTGGCATCACGGTGGGGAGGCAGACTCTGAACAAACAGGTGAGATCCATGCGCAATAATGACTCATAGGAGAAGTGCTGTGGAGAGACAGGCGGGGAAGGGAGACAGGGAGTGTGTGTGCGTGTGCGTGCGTGTGTGCGTGCGTGTGTGCGTGCGTGTGCGCCCGGGCCGCTCAGGGAGCCAAGGTCTGGACCGGCCTTCACCCCTGCTTCACTCTGTCAGACGGGGGGGGGGGGGGTAACTAGTGAGAACTGGTCTCAGATCCCCCCCCCCCCCTGCCCTCTCTCCTTTGCTCCTCACCGTCCCCTTCGCCTGGGGATTATCGGCTGAGAAAACAGCGGAGGCTGAATGGGGAGAAGGGCAGGGTGGCCGGGCACAGAGGACTCTGCTCCAAGGGGAAGCTGGGGAGACCATCCCTTTCCCCGTCCACAGCAATGGCCCTTGGCCCGCCGAGTGTGAAACGTCACTGACTAGTACACGTGTTCTGTGCACTTTTCTGTACGTAGTTTGTACTTTAATGAAAATATATGTTTATTGATTTCAGAGAGGAAGGGAGCAGGAGAGAGGAGAAACATCAATGATGAAAAAGAATCATTGATTGGCTGCCTCCTGCACACCCCACACTGGGGATGGAGCCCACAACCCGGGCATGTGCCCCGACCAGGAATTGAACCATGACCTTCTGGTTCATAGGTGGACACTCAACCACTGAGCTGCACCAGCCGGGCAATGAAAATACTTTTTAATAAGACAAAAGGCGTGTGTCTGGGCTCCATGTGGGAGGATTACTAGGGAAGAGGGAGCATTCGCTTAGTGCAGACTTACCGAGGACTGACCATGAGCCCGGCACTGACTTAGGCCTATGGAGGCAGCGGTGGGACAGGCAAGGCCTTGACCCTGTAGACTCACATTTCGGTGGAGGAGAGGTGGGAGGGAGAGAGACAAACCATAAACAAGTCATCAAACAAAATAGTTGCACAACAGCCTGGCCGGCCGGGGTGTGGCTCAGGGTTGAGCATCCACCCAAGACCCAAGAGGCTGTTGGTCCCATTCCCAGTCAGGGCACTATGATCCCCAGTAGGGGGCGTGCAAAAGGCAGCCAGTCGACGGTTCTCTCTCATTGATGTCTGTCTGTCTGTCTCTCTCTCCTCCTCCTCTTCTCTGAAATCAATAATAAAAAATAATAATTGCAAACAGGTGACTGTTATGAGGGTTGGTGAATGGGTTATGTGATATGACACAATGGGGTGTTTTAGCCAGATAGACCTCTTTGAAGAGGTGGCACCGAGCAAAGACATACCTGCTGAAGGGATGCCATGAGGCAGTAAAGGGACAGGAGTGGCACATGCAAAGGCCCTGGGGCTGATGTGAGCCATTCAAAGAGGCCGCAATGGCTGGGCTGCTGGGATGGAAGAAAGTGGTATGAGATGAGCCCAAGCCACAGGGGCCTTGAGTGGCAAGGAGTGAGTCAGGATTGTGAGTGAGAGGGAGAAAGTGACCTTGGCCTCCTCTCTCTCCTAGGTCTCAGCCCAGAGGGTACCTTCTGCAAACATGTCTGTGGATCCCTTATCCAGCAAAGCCCTGAAGGTGAGGAGGCGGCCCCTGTGGTCCCAACCCTTCCCTCCCTCCCTGCCCAGCCCGCTTCCCCTAAGGCCCTCGAATCCCCCAAGCAGATCCCCGGGCAGGAGGCATGATGGGCGCTGGCTGGAGACCAGGAGGCCTGGGCTCGGCCAGCGAGGCTGTGTCCCCGGGGCAGGCCACTTCCCTCTCCCGACTGGCTTCCCCGGCGGACAATGCCCACTGGGCTGCGGGGCGGGAGGTGCTTTCCGGGGTTTCTTACGGGTTCCTGCCTCTCTGTGGGGTCTTAGAACAAACCCAGCATCTCCGTGCCTGTGGCGGTGGAGAGGGAGCCATCCCCAGCACCCGATGCATGCCAGGCCCAGCGTTTCGGCCCCTAGGCAAGGACGCGACCCTGGGCCTCAGTTTCCCCACATGTCCCTCTTCTCTTCCCCCCCTTCCCCCCGCGCGCTGCCCGCAGATCAAGCGCGAGCTGAGCGAGAACACGCCGCACCTGTCGGACGAGGCGCTGATGGGGCTGTCGGTGCGCGAGCTGAACCGGCACCTGCGGGGGCTGTCGGCCGAGGAGGTGGCGCGGCTCAAGCAGCGGCGGCGCACGCTCAAGAACCGCGGCTACGCCGCCAGCTGCCGCGTGAAGCGCGTGTGCCAGAAGGAGGAGCTGCAGAAGCAGAAGTCCGAGCTGGAGCGCGAGGTGGACAAGCTGGCGCGCGAGAACGCCGCCATGCGCCTGGAGCTGGACGCGCTGCGCGGCAAGTGCGAGGCGCTGCAGGGCTTCGCGCGCTCCGTGGCCGCCTCCCGCGGGCCCGCGGCGCTCGTGGCGCCCGCCAGCGTCATCACCATCGTCAAGTCGGCCCGGAGCCCGGCCCCCGGCCCCGCCCCGGGCCCCGGCCCCGCCCCGGGCCCCGCGCCCGCGCCCGCGCCCTGCTCCTAGTGCCCGCCGCGCCCCCATCACCACCGCGCCCCACCCCCCAACCACTCCCCTGCGGCCCTGCTCCTTCCCCAAGTGCCTCAGCGCCACCTGTCCCAGGTGCCATTTCTCTGCAGCCACCAGCCCGGCGGCCAACACGGGCTCTCCCCGGAGCCTGCCTTCCTGTGCAGCCCTGAGACGGGCCTACGCCCCGGGAAGGGGCAGCTTTGGTGAGATGGGGGGCAGGTGGATCAAGGTCTCCCTTGGCCGAAAGCTCCGCCTCCCTAGGTTGGGAAGAGGGATACAGAGCGGATTGGACTAGAGAAGAATCAGACTGGAGAAGAGTCGTGAGGACTAAAGGGCCTCCCCTCGTTGGGGAAACTGCTCAGATTGTGCCCGTGGCCCCTGCCCGGCCTGGGCAGCGTTAGGTTTGGCCCTGTATGTCTTGTGGGGCTGCCCGGCTGGGGAGCTGGTGCTCCCCGCTCTGCTTTGGGGCTGGGGAAGTCTCCTGCCCCGTTAGCAGCAGATGGGAACCGTCCTCCCCCCGATGGGCCACCTGTGCTTGTGGGTGAGCTGAAACCTGCAGCCAGGTCCTCCTCCTGCCGTCCGAGACCCCAGCATGGCCAGGGGGCAGTGGACAGGGACTGGGAAGGGGCCGCCGTGGCCTGGGAGACTGAGAGACACGGGAAGAGAAGTAGAAGGAGAGAGAAGGGGATGTAGATGGAAGAGAGGGAAGGGGTTGGCTAGCCAATTAACAAAGGGAGGGAGGAGGCAGGTGGGGAGATGAGATGACAGATCCCGCCATCTTGCAGCCTCAAAAGAGACAGTCCCACCTCTTCCCCTGTGACTGTCCCCCCCGGGGTGGAGGCTGGCCACGGCCACGGATTGTTCTGGAAGCCCGCGCCCTCCACCCCCCCTCACATACTGTACACAGCTGCCCCCCGCTGTTATTTATTGCACGAATCTAAGTTATTCTCTCCAGCCGGAGCCCTAGCGCCCTCTCCCTGGGAGAAGCGGTGTGTGGCCCTGAGCTGGACTTTATATTTTATATCTGCAAATAAATCACATTTTATCTTATATTTAGAGAAAGCCGGCTGGCAACAACCAAAAAAAAAAAATGTTTTTAAAAAAATTGCCCCGGCCTCCAGAATTTATTTATTTTCTGACTTACAGTAAGCGAGTTATCCGCCTTCTGTATTTTGTAGACTTTCTGAATAAAGTCAAGTTCTCTTTTTCCACAGTGAAGTGCGTGTCCTGAGCTATGGTTTGTTTGTTTCTGCTGTTGTTGTTTTTTGGGGGGAGGGGCGTTCTGAGGGGCCCAAGAAGGAGTTCTGCTTCCGGACCCTCTGCTGGGTGGGAGGGCTAACTCCAGTTTGCAAGTAAAAGCGAAGCACCATCGCTGCTCTTGCGAGCACTGGGGGGTGGGCTGGAGGTGGGACCCAGATGGGTGATGCCAAAACATGTCCTTCCTTCTGGGCGCCCGAGCTAAGGGTCCTCGGTGGGGAAGGCAAAGCCAGGAGCACAGTGACCTGTCCCGGGCATCCCTTTAGCAAAAAACAGCCCCGCTCCGAGAGGAAAATTCCGATGCAAGAGTCATCTCTCCAGCACTTTCACGTCGAGGGCTGTCTTCAGCCAAGTAGAAAATACTTTCCTCATGTTCCGGAAGGCACGGGGTGTGGCGTGAGGGCGGGGGGGGGGGGGGGGGTGCTTCCTCGGCCCCAGCCTGCAGGCCTACCACGCAGCCGCGTCCCATCCTGGGGCCCGGGACAGGGTGCAGTGCGTCAGGGAAGTCAGGGCTTGAATCCAGATGTGCTTTCCTGGCTGTGTGACCTCTAGTGACTTATGTGGCTTCTTGCAGCCTCGGTTTACCCGTCGGTGCCAGGAAGGTGCTCTGAGGGCACAGGTGACAGGCGCCGGGAGCGGAGTGGATGTTGACGGGTGCATGGGCTTCGCCGTGAGGATCTGAGTGGCTGCCCAGGGTGTGAAGATGGCGGGGCTGGGAGAAGGCATGGACATGGAAGCTGGGGAAAGGCCAAACCACAGAGGTTGGCTTGATCCACAGGCCTCCCTCCTCTTCCTCCTCAGGTTGGGGCCCTGGACCCTGGATCCTCACCCGACGCTGAGAAGCTGCGTTCAGGCCTCAGGAAAAGGCAGCCGGAAGCTGCAGGAGGGCCAAGCAGAGGCTGGGAATTTCCCTACCCCCACGGCATTCCTGAGGGCCCGAGTCAGCAGCCAGTACACACACACACACACACACACACACACGCACACGCACCAGGCCCGGGACCGTACGGAGGTGGCTGCAGGAAGGTGCCTTACCCAGCAGGCCCTGCTCCAGGCCTGGCGCCAGGGGGAGGCACCCAGGGCCCCACAGTGGAGGCTGGATTCAGGGGGGCAATGTTAGCCTCTGACAATGTGACGCCCCCCCATCACCTTCACGTTCACACCGGAAGGACAGGGTTTCCTGGCATCACTGCTCACCACCACGAAACCCACCCCAGCACGGGGGTGGGAAGAGGAAGGAAAAAAACCGCACTCGCAGGCAGGGCAGATTTCAATACAATCTATATTATCTCATATATATATATTTCTTCCTCACTTTATTTGCTCACTTCTGTCACGCGTTTAAAATGTCACAGAGACCAAAATAGAGCAACTTTCTGGTGGAGCTCACGGCAGTCATACACGAGATATAAAACTAGGGGGCTCTGTCTTCTCATACATCATACAATTAAGTTTTCAAGTATTTCTTATGTACAAAGAGCTACTCTATTGGGGGGAAAAAAAAAAGTTTAAAAAAAGACAAGGTGGGTTACAAATCCCAGGAAGTAGGTGGTGTGGTCAGGCCGTTCCCAGCCCCACTGCTCCGGGCCTGGCTGCCGCCGGGAGCAGCAGGGCAGACGGGCAGGGAGCGGCCGCACACTTTGGCCTGGAAGGAGGATCAGAGGAGCACAGGGAAGGGCAATGGTGGGAGCGAGGGGGGGGGGGGGGCGCGCGCGCAGAGGTGTCTCAGGCAGCCGGCACCGGCCTGCCTTCCCAGGCAGCTTGGGGCTGGGGGCCAAGCCCACCAGACAGGGACCCGAGAGCTGGCCTCCAGTACCCCTTCCCCTCACGCAGGCCCGGCCCCGCCCCCGCCAGGAGGGCTGCTTGGTCACAATGCCAAGTGCTCAGGAAGATGACTGGGATGGAACCCACCCGACCCCGGGCACAGCCCTCCCAGGAGGGGCCACGGGGAAAGGTTCCACCGTGAAGTCTGAAGCCGCAGGCAGGCCTTCTCCCTGCCCTTCCCGCCTTCCCCGCTGCTGCCGCCCAGACAAGCCGCGTCCATCAGCCTCTTCCTGGCGGCGGCCGAGGTGAGCCCAGGCTGCAGGGGGCTCTGGCCCAGGTGTGTGGGTGTGGAGGCGGGAAGGGGAGGGGCCTGGTGTCCTGGCCACTCGAGGCCGGTCCGAGGGCGCCAGGCCCAGCACTGCGGGGGCCTGAGGCCAGCAGCTCAGCGGGAGCCCCAGGGAGGCCGGGACAGACCGAGGCGGGGGAGTGGGGCGATCATTTGTGACTAAGGCACAGAAGAGATGGGCTGGGCCAGGTGAGCAGGGCGCCAGGCCGTGTGGGCTTGGGGCCGGGGTCCTCCTGCAGGCCCAGCCCTTTGTCCTCCCTCCCACAGAACCATGTCCTCCGGAAGCTGGTCTGAAGTGTGGAGACTCAGACTTTCCCTGAAATGGGAGGAGAAGCCCAGCGATGATGGGGACCAGGAGAGGCCTGACTGCTCAGCCGGGAAGGCAGGCGGGAGCCCTGACCCTCTGAGCAGCCAGGCAGGGAGGGCTCTGCCCAAATGCTCCCAGACAGACCCAGGAGAGGGCAGTGCGGCTGCCCTGTCCTCTGCAGACCAGGAGGACGGGGTGTGTGAAAGAGGAGCAGCCAGAGGACACCCGGGGACGCTCAGAAGAGGGGCCCGGAGGCACCCGAGCGCCTTCTTAGCGGGACCTGTGGCTCCTGGCGTCCGGCCGAGCTTGCAGCAGGCCAGGCAGGCCGGGTCAGGAGGCTCCACAGACGGCTTCCTCCCCCCTCCCCTCCTGCCCAGCAGAGCTAATGCAGCACGAGGCGGAGGAAGCGGGGGCAGAGCTGAGGGCACGGTGTTTGGGGAGGGGCCGAGTCTCACGGGGAGGGCAATGAGCTGGGGACAGAGCTGAGAAGCTGTGGCCACTGGTCCACGACACAAGCGTCAGGGCCTGGGGCCTGGCTGGTCCCGCCACGCCGCCACGCCGCGCCAGCCGCCGGGCACGGGCGTCGCTCCGTGTCCCCGGCTCCCCGCTGGGGCCCGGCGTGGCGTGTAGAAATGTTCCTGAAGGCTCGGGTGAGCCTGGCTGTTCTCTGGGCAGACGGCGAGGCCGTCCTCGGGAAGCGATGTGTGAGTGCTCTGGTCCAATAAATTAAAGGCAATGCCAACGGGGCAGCCTGCGCCCGGGCCGGGCGTGAGGCCGGAGGGCGCACCTGCCCTGGCCAAGGCGCCACCCCCCCCAGCAGCGGCCATGCTTAGAACTCGTCGTCAGAGCTGAGCAGGAGCGTCTTCTCGGTGTCGCGGGCGCCGCCGAGGCTGTGGGAGCGCGAGGGGCCGTGGGCGCCGCCGTGGCGGGCCGGCCCGGGCTCCAGCGTGGACTGCTGCGTGTACTGCTGGTAGGCGGGCGAGAAGTTGTGGATGGCGTCCTGCACGATGTCGTGCGGGTTCATGGTCTCCTTGAGGCTGCTGGAGATGCTCTTCATGGGCGCGCAGCGGCCTGCGGGCGGAGGAGGGTGAGGCTGGCGCAGGGGTGAGGGGCTCCAACCGCCTCCGATCCTGAAACCCACCCCCAAGGCTATCCATCCAACCACCCCTCCCGGGGCAGAGGGTGGGGCTCTGCACGTGAGAGGGTGCAGGCGAAGACACGGCCTCTGGCTGGGCAGAGCAGAGAGCACCCTGAAGGGGGAGGTAAGCACCCCTGGGGCTGAGTCCGGCAGGTGGGTGGGCCGGGCCGGAGACCGGCCCGATGCAGCAATGAGCCCAGGATGCCCCAGGAGGCACGCCAAGCCGCACGAGTGGAGGCGGGAGTGCTGGGGACGGGGCTCACTGCTGGCCCTGCCCCTCTCCGGAGGGAGCGGACCAGGGACCGTTCCATCGGGGCAGCTGCAGGGCTGGACCGGGCCGTGAGGAGCAGGCATCTTCACCAGCTCACTCAGGGCGGGAGCCACTGCCGATAAGCTCATCTTAGTCCCTCTCTGATGAATCACCCCAGGCCAGGCCACACACTGAGAGGTAAAGGAGAGCTCAGCTCGCAGCCAGGTCTCCAGACTCACACACGCCTGCCCTTTCTGCCTGCACGCCTCCGCCGTGGACATACGAAATGGCCCTGGTTTCCCAGGAGTGGGTGCTGTGCCCCAGAACCACATAGGGCATATGCTGGACGACAGGCCGAACAGAGTGGGCTCGACAGAGGGCGGCCCTTGGCAGAGTGCTCTGGGCACTGCCTTCAGTGCCCGTGGTGACAGAACCAGGCAGAGAGGCGTGCCGGTGACAGTGACCAGGACTGACATGCAGGACAGACATGCAGACAGAGAGCAGAACCTACCGTAAGGACCATACGTTGGCACTGCCCATGGCCAAACCCGGGGCAAAAGCAGGGCGGGCAGGGAAGGGGGGAGAAGCAGGAGAAATAGAGAAGACAAGAGACAGCTGAGTGAACACCACGGCCCATCACCGAGGCCAGGGCACACCCTGCCGCCCACCCCTGGCCCTCTGGCACCCCGGCAGCCCCAGCTCCCCTCGGGCCTGGCACACTGACCACCGAAAGAGGACCCTCCTGTGGCACTCCCACTCTGGGGGGGACAAACAGCGGACACCAGAATGGCGGGCCGAGTTCACCTCGCCCCCAAGTCAGGGCCCCCACCCCCGCTTCTCCAGCTTAGGCTGGAAGTGCTAGGCCTGTGCCCTGTGCACACAAACCTCCCCCCACTTCACAGACCGGAAAGGGAGGCTGGGGCGAGGGTTCTTGTGCAGCCCCCACGACAGCCAGCTCCGCACCCGCGCCAGCCTGGAGAGCTGAGGGGCTGGGCACCGTGGTTGGCGGGCACTGTGGTTGGCGGGCACACGGCCGGCCAGGACCACGTGGAGGGGCAATGGCAGCAGCAGCTTCCCCTGGCGGGCAGGGCCCACGCACAGCTGCGCGCTGCGGGTGGGTGTGTCGGGGAAGACGGCCCAGGCCTCCACGCGGAAATGTCCTTAAACTGAGACCCTCCCAGGCTCTGGGCACAAAGGGGCTTTCCGAGGGACAGGGTCTGTCAGGCCCAGGCCCAGGGGCATCGCCCTCAGCACTGGAAGCTGACCCTCCAATGGGCCTTGGTGGGAAGCAGTGGCCCCCAGCGGCAGTGCTGAGTGGGCAGCACAGTGCCTGGCACTGACAGGGTGCGGTCAGACGTGGAGAAAGCACCCCCGGCCCAGCCAGCGTGTTGGGGAAACGCAGCCAGGCCCACCAGTCACGAGGCCTGCAGTGCGGTCAGCAGCTGCGCAGGCCCGAGGCCTCCCACCAGGGAAAGAACATGGCAGGAAGGGGTGGGCGTTGAGGAGCCGGCCGCAGGCCAGGCGGTCCTCTACACTCTGCCAGGACGTGGCTGCCCGGCCCGGGGTGGGCATCGGTGCTGCGCCTGGGGAGGGGGGCTTCCCCTCCAGCCACGTGGGAGGGGCGCTGGAGCAGCCGAGCCCGGGCAGAGGTGTTAGACCGGAGGCCTCCCTTCCAGGCCCTCCCACCTCCTCCCATCTCCCAAGCAGCCCTACTCCTCTTCCTGCTCCCCCTGGGCATCCTCCAGGCCCGGTGGCAGCAGAGGCACCCAGGCCGGGAGCTCTGCCAGGCCGAGCCACATCAATGGCTCCGGAGCCTCTGAGGCGGCCCAGCACGGAACTCTGTCTCTCCAGGGGGCTCTGCTCTGACCCAGGAAGGTCAGCAAGTATAAAAGAAAGCTGTTCAGAGCTACTGCCACCCAAGTCTGCTTCTGAGAGGTAATCAGGTAAAAAACAAAAACAAAAAACAGAACACTTAAGAGCAGAGGATTCTGGGACAAACGGGAACCCTGAGGGACTGCTTTTCTAGAATCTCCGTCCTGACCATCCCACAGAGGTACTGCGCCCGTCAACTTCATCTCCGTACTCCAGACCGGCTGCCAAGACAGGGCCTGGCTCCCAGGGCCTCCCTCACGTGACCCAGGACGCCTGACCCCTCTGGCCTGCAGGACGCCGCGGGGGGAGGGGGGGGGCTGGCTCTCACCGTGCGCGTCCAGCCTCTTGTCGGCGTAGACCTTGTAGGTGAAGGCGTGTCGCAGGGCCAGCGCCGCGAAGAACATCTCCACGCAGATGATGAAGTCCTGGTAGCCGGCGGCCACGGTGCCCTCACCCACCGACACGCGGGCCGAGTGGATCTTGGGGATGGCCCCACACTTCTCCAGGATGGCCAGCAGCAGGCCTGGGGGCAATGGGGTGTCTGGCCAAGCCGGACCGCCTCCCATGCCCTCCTCCTCCGTGCAGCCCCCATGCCCGGGCGGCAGAAGCAGGGGCCCTGGTCGCTCCTGTGAGGCAGTGTTGCCGACACAGGCTGAGGTCCCTTGGGAACTCCACACCCCCTGACCCTTTCCAGCCACTAACACTGAGATGTCACAGATTATGTGGGGTCCCCGTGTCCCCCATCCATGAAGCAGCCCCACTAAAGCTCTGCCCTGGCTCCTAAGGCCCCTGAGGGCCAGTCTTCTGCCCGAGTGGGCACCCAGTGGACGGAGGCCCCTTTGAGCTTCAGCTGGGATCCCCAAGGACAACCCTGTGGCCTGGGCCCCAGGGGTACGGGGGTGGCAGGCAGGAGGAAGGGGTGCTGGGGGTGGCAGGCAGGAGGAAGGGGTGCTGGGGGTGGCAGGCAGGAGGAAGGGGTGCTGCGGTGGCAGGCAGGAGGAAGGGGTGCTGGGGTGGCAGGCAGGAGGAAGGGGTGCTGGGGTGGCAGGCAGGAGGAAGGGGTACGGGGGTGGCAGGCAGGAGGAAGGGGTACGGGGTGGCAGGCAGGAGGAAGGGGTACGGGGTGGCAGGCAGGAGGAAGGGTGCTGGGGTGGCAGGCAGGAGGAAGGGTGCTGGGGTGGCAGACAGGAGGAAGGGTGCTGGGGTGGCAGGCAGGAGGAAGGGTGCTGGGGTGGCAGGCAGGAGGAAGGGTGCTGGGGTGGCAGGCAGGAGGAAGGGTGCTGGGATGGCAGGCAGGAGGAAGGAATGAGGTTCAGGGGACAGAGCCGCCTCGTGGGGCTGGGCGGAGCTCACCTTGCCAGAAGGAGAGGAAGATCACGGACTTGACCATGAAGAACTTGAGGACGGGGCTGTAGGGGCTGAGCAGCTCCCTGGTGGCGAAGTAGAAGAGGAAGAGGGCGTAGAGGGCCAGGCTCACGGAGACGTTGTAGATGATGGTCACGTACAGGTAGCCGCTGGCGACGCTGCAGAAAAGGGAGCGTTCTGGCTTGGACAGACCCCACCGAGGGACGAGGAGCCTCCCTCCCCCCTGGTCCTGCCCGACGCCGACCCCCACGGCTCTGGCCGGGCTCCCCAAGCAGCGCTCCACGAGCCACGCGGTGATCAGAGGGGCCTCACGCAGGGGTGTCTCCCACCTGCCCGCAGCTCCGCTGGGGGACACGCCCCGGGCGTGGAAGCCAGTCTGGCCTGGGTGAGGGCTCAGCCTGACGGTCAGATGGCGGGTGTCAGCGTGACAGGAGCTCAGCCCTGCTCTTTCCAAGCTGAGCAAGTTACATCCCTCTGAGCCTCCGTTTGCCCACCTGCCCTGCCGGGCTGCTGTGCACCGTCCAGGGGTGCCGCCGAGCGCGTGCCAGCACACGGCCACGCGGTCACTTTCCCTCACGCCCAGCGAGAGGCCTGTGGGCAGTCCGCCATCCGAGGCTTTCCACCAGGACTCAAGGCGGCTCCCGGGCTCCAGCCCCGCTGCCTGCCTGGATGGTCATGTCCCTTCTGCCCCAGGTGCCCCCCACCCCCTATGCCAAGGGGATGGACGCTGAGGGCTCCTGTGCCAGAGGCGGGCCTCGTGGGCATGGAGGCGGGAGGAAGGCTGGGAACATGCGTGGCCTCCATTCAGAGGAGGTCCTGAGGGCGGGTGTGCCCGGTCTGTGGCCGCCTCCTTCCCTAGCCAGGCATTGCCTCTGGGCAGGGACATCTACCCTGTCATCAACTCCCCCCACGCCCCTGCGGGGCCCGCTGCTTACTCAAAGTCGCCGTCCTGGTACTTGCCAAAGGCCTGGAGGATCACGGTGCTGACAGCCATGAGCGGCTTCACCACGCAGAACTGCAGGGTGGCCTGCGGGGGAGGCGCCCAACGTCAGGATGGGACAGACCCCGGAACACCTCCTCTGGCCGGGAGGCCTGTGGATGCCAGGCCTGGGGAGCCCAGGGCCCTCCCGAGGGGACTGCTGTCTGGAGAAGGCGGCGTGAGGGAGGCTCAGCTGGGTGAGAAGACGGATGTGGAGGAGGGATGCGGGTGGATGGTGGAATGGAGGAGAGGGGACAGATGTCCCTGGAGGAGGGGCAGCAGGAATGGGAGACAAGGGACAGGCAGAAGGGACAACTCATACCGAGGCCAGAGGCAGAGTGGACAGGCATGGACTCATGCTGGGCAGGCAGCAGCAGCAGCAGCGAGGTGGCCAGGGAAGTGGGTGGGGTGGGGAGCAAAGCCGGGGCCCTGCTCCGGGGACTGGCCACATGGAAGCAGGGTTGTGCCATGGTTTCCTCTCGTGCCCCTCGCCCACCCCCGGGGGTCTGGCTCCCTGCCCCTTGCTCTGGGCCTGGGCCCAGGGTTTGTTCTGAACCGGTGCTGCTGGGGACGGAGATGACTTAACAGGAGCACAAAACAGGCAGACACCCAAAGCCAAGGTCTGGTTCTGATATCTGAGTTTGAATGTGGCCTTGCCAACTACCAGCGACAGACGCTCGAGCGGGCGGCCACTGAGCCTCTGGCGGGTGGACGTAAGCAGCCCCTCGTCACAGGGTGAGCCCCGGCCCCAGGCGAGGCCCCAGTAGACCGAGGGGCACCCACAGTGCCCGAATGTCACTAGACTAGCCTCTCTCTTGAAGTCAAATAAATCTAAGCAACGGGGCCTTCTGTGGAGGCGGGAGCAGCTGAGAAGGCTAAGCTGGTGTGGCTCCTGATGGGCAGGACCCCGGAGGGGAGAGCATGGCCTGCTGAACCCAAAGCTGTGGGAACCGGTGGTCAGAGCTGTGGGGTGCCACCAGGAGAGGAGTGTGTGGCAGGGCTAGAGGGGTGATACTGTCACACCCCCCACAGAACCTCCCCACCTAGAGGCGGCGGGACTGCACCGACAGCCCACAGAGAGGCAGCCCTCGCATGGAGTGAGCCAGCGAGGGAGGGAGCGTTAAGAGTCAGGCCATCGGCTGGTGGGCCCGGGTCAGCCACCTGATGCCCACGTCCCTGTGGAGCCTGACACAGAGAGGGAACTGAGGCACAGGGACCCTGAAGTGCAGTTACGACAGCAGGAGGTGGTGCCTGGGACAAAGCTGCCACCCCAGGACGAGGGGGGGGGATATTTTGTTTTCTCCCCTTTTCCTACTTCTCCCTGCCACCTCCAGGAACAGCCAGCCCACAGGCCTGGGGGTAATTTATAACGAGGTGGCTTGGAGCTAGTGATCTGGGATCAAAACTTTGTACACAATATAATCATCAAAGAGGGCATGAGTCACCGCCCAGGCACCCAGCCCTGGGTAAACAATGGCCCTGCGAACCCCACCCTGAGCCTGAGCCCTGAGCCGGGACAGTTTAACTCTTTCCCTGCAGGTCCCTGGGGGAGAGTGTGCGTTGAACAACAGCCTCAGGAAGGAAGACCTGGAAGCCGACCTGGAGACCCAGGTCCAGGCAGGCGCGGGGTGTGTGTGTGTGTGTGTGTGTGTGTGTGTGTGTGTGTGTGTGTGCGCCTGGCCCTACCCAGGAAAGCCAGCTTCAGCGGGCAGTGCCCCGCTGTGGGCTCACCTCCCCTAGGTTACTCTGGCGATGCCGGAGGGCTGAAAGGCCTTGGAGGCAGAGGAGACTGAGCTGAGGTCGTGCTGCTGGGCATGACACCTGACACTCCCTCCCAAACAAGAGGGGGGGGGGGGGCCTCTGTGCCAGGTGCCAGCGCCTTGCGAACACTCCGTACCCACCTCACCTGTCCTTTAAGCCATCCCTAGAGATAAGTAACATTACGCACATTTGACAGAAGGAACTAAGGCTGAGAGGTTAAGTAACGACCCAAGGTCACAGTCAGAAACTGGAAATCAAGCTCAGATGGTCAGATGCGCAGACCCAGGCACTTCACCACCACACCACACTGCCACGGGCGGGGGGGGGGGGGGGGGGGGGCAACAAGGAGAACGAAGCTGCTGGCAGCCAACCGGGAAATGGGGAAGGGACTGGAGACTGCACACGCCTGGTTCGTCATGTATCTTTTTTTTTTTTTTCAATCCTCACTTGAGGATATTTTTTTAAATATATGTTTTGATTGCTTTTAGAGAGAGAGGAAGGGAGAGGGTTAGAGAAATAGAAACACTGAGGGAGAAACGTCGATTCAGCTGCCTCCTGTACACCACCTACTGGGGATCAAGCCCACAACCGGGCACGTGCCCTGACCTCCTGGTTCAGCCACTGAGCCACAGCAGGGCTGGTCTTGTATCTTTAATGCAGAAGCCCTCCTGCCCTCTAGCCCCACTGATGAGAAGTTTTCAAACAGAGATCCCAGAATCCCCTTCACATCCTCCGATTCTCACACACACAGAGACGTGGTCAAAAAGAACAAGAGTCTGCCGAAACCGGTTTGGCTCAGTGGATAGAGCGTCGGCCTGCGGACTGAAGGATCCCAGGTTCGATTCCGGTCAAGGGCATGCACCTTGGTTGCGGGCACATCCCCAGTAGGGGGCGTGCAAGAGGCAGCTGATCAATGATTCTCTCTCATCTATGTTTCTAACTCTCTATCCCTCTCTCTTCCTCTCTATAAAAAAAAAAAAAAAAAAATCAATAGAATATATTTAAAAAAAAAAAAAGAAAAGAAAAGAAAAGAACAAGAGTCGCCCTAGCTGGTTTGGCTCAGTGGATAGAGCTGATGCCTGTGAACTGAAGGGTCCCAGGTTTGACTCCAGTCAAGGGCACATGCCCAGGTTGTGGGCTTGATGGAGTGGGGTGTGCAGGAGGCAGCTGATCAATGATTCTCTATCATCATTGATATTTTAGTCTCTCTCTCTCCCTCTCCCTTCTTCTCTGAAATCAATAAAAACATATTTTAAATAAATAAGCAAATAAATAAATAAATAAAAGGAGCAAGAGCCTGAGACCACTTCGTGCCCAGGACGCCTCTCCCTGCTCCTCTGAGCACACCCTGTGAATGCAGGGGCACCCCCAACTGTGTGGGGAGTGGGTGCTGGTACTTGGGGGGGGCTCACAGGAAATGGGGACTCCAAGGTGGAGCCAGGGCAGCCGGGCAGGAGCTAGGCACACACCTGCTTGCAGAACCGCAGGAATCCAATGGAGTACGTCTTTCCCCAGAGGCAGCAGGTGCCGTACATACAGCTGGACCTGGAAGAGACCACGAAGGGGTGGTGAGCAGAGAGCTAGGACTCGGGGAAGGGGGGCTGGGGGCTGCCCTCCCTCACATCCAGACAAGCCAGGGCACGGGGTGGGGGGGCAGCTTTGAGCCCAATGCCAAGTACAGGGAGACTGCGGAGAGCATTTGGAGAAGCATCAGGGAGCAGGCTGCTCCGGCCAGCCTCGGGGTGACAAGCACCTGTGAAGGCTGAATGTGAACAGTGCAGGAGGGAAACAGAAGCAGGGAAAGATGGGGAGGCAGAGGAGAGAGAGCCGGGACCCTTCCAGAAGCCCCATTGAATGGCCATGCTGGGGAAGTCCAGGCCGCAGGCGCAGAGGGGCCGTGTGTGGCCACCGCCAGGACAGCGGGGAGAAAGGCAGGCAGAGGCAGGCAGCGGGCTGCAGGGCTGAACTCACTCGATGGGCTTCCCCCTGATCTCTGACATGATGGCGCTTTCTCCGCCGAGGTACTCGTAGCACAGGCTCAGGAAGTTGTAGATGACCAGGGCTGTGAAGAGAGCACCCACAGTGAACCACCGGTGGTCACAGGACAGTAAACAGACGGCAAACAGACGGCAGGATCTGAGCAGCATCGACAGTGAAGAGCCGGTGCAGGCAGTAACGGAGCACTCCGAGGGCCAGGAGAACCCACGTGAATACTCCATTCCACCCGAACCAGGCAGAGACGGCTCATATTGTCTAGGGATGCGTACACACTGCTGCTCACTCTGTACAGCATGGGAGTGACTACCACCAAAGTCAGGGCTGTGTGGGGAGACGGGAGGAGGCCAGGTCAGGATGGGCGCGGAGGGGACTTGGGGGAATTGGCAGTGTACCAGCTTTCTAATTCACCCTACGCTCCTCTCCATTGTGTATGGGCCACAGAGTTACAACAGCAACACACTCTCCAGGGGCATCTCAGGAGACCCCTGTGCAAGGAGACAGCGGCCCCTCCGCCCGCTCACAGCCCGCAGTGCCCGTCTGCACTGAGCTCAGGAGAGTGCGGCGAGAGGCGCAATGCCGAGCTGCTGGGTCAGCTCACTGAGGCAGGACGCGCTGGGCATCCCGCAAAGACAAAACCTGCGGAGGACCGCGCCGCGGAGAGGGATGTGGTAAATTCCTCGCTATAAATAGATCAATGCTCCTGGTCAGAGATGTCTGCTGGCTCAGCAGAGTGAAGGCTGCTGCCTGCAGGGTGCCAGAGCAGCGGGCTGTGCCAGGAGCGAGGAAGGAGAGCGAGCGTGGAAGAAAGAGTCAGTGTGGCAGAGGGCACCACGAAGGACGGGGCAGGAGGGGCAGGGGCCGAGAGCAGGGAGCAAGGAGAGGCGTCCAGCCGAAACCGGTTTGGCTCAGTGGATAGAGCGTCGGTTTGCGGACTGAAAGGTCCCGGATTCGATTCCGGTCAAGGGCATGTACCTTGTTTGCGGACACATCCCTGCTGGAGGGTGTGCAAGAGGCAGCTGGTCGATGTTTCTCTCTCATCGACGTTTCTAACTCTCTATCTCTCTCCCTTCCTCTCTGTAAAAAAATCAATAAAATATATATTTAAAAAAAAGAGAGAGGTGTCCAGCAAAGCAAGGCCAATGCAAGGGTCCAATGGGGCCAGAGAGGCCCCTTCTCCTCTGCCCCGGTGGCCCCTGCAGCACGGAGGCCTCGGGGCTCCTGGCGCAGCCCCTGGTTCGGCACTCAAGGTCTCCCCACAGGTGCCGTGGTCCCTGCCCGCCCCTCACTCTTCCTTCCCAGCAGCACTGGGAGCCCCTTGCCCTCAGCAGTTATTGCTTTTGCACTGGCTGTTCCCCTGCCTGGGGTGCCCCTCCCTCCACACTCCCATCAGACGAGTCCTGGCCACCTTAGGCCAGTGCTGTCATCAGGGCCCCGCGACGTGCAGACCTCAACACGAAAGCCTGGCACAGCAGCCAGAGGCGAACGGTGGCCTTCAGTTTGGAGAGGAAGGTATTTGGGTGTTTTCTGCCACTCACAGCTGCTCTAACCTATGAAGGGCTCATGTCTCAGCTGGGATAGGACCCCAGGGAGCACTCTCTATAAATATGACCCCTGGCACCTACCACATGTGCTGGGACTATCCCTCAGCAGACACAGAGGGGAGGGTTTACCGCCTGGGTCTGCCACTGGGTTAGCCGTGAGCCTCAGTTTCCTCATCTGTTAAATGGGGACAGGAGTCCCTACCTTCCCAGGTGGCTGAGAGGTTGAAGTGAGTGTGCAAAAAGCTCGGAAGAGTGGGCAGCGCTCAGCAGCGCTGAGTGTTGGCTGCTACCTGCCTGTCTCCCTCGGGGGCCAGCCTCCCTGAATAGGCTGGGGACCGTGTGCTGTCTGCCTGGCACAGGAGCAGCTCAGAGTGGCTGGTGACTGCAGGCATGCCCACTGATAACTCAATGACAGCAACTACTTTGGGGTCTGGGGGGGGGCATCTAGCCAAACGTGACGTCAGCCTGCTAATAACATTTGTCCAACCCACACAAGGCCGTGTGGAAGGGGTGTGTCCATCCCGGGCTGGGGCCAGCCATATTGCGGCCGATGTTATTTTCCAAAGACGGCCACACCCTCTGACACTGATAACACCGCTGAGAGATGGGGTCTCGTCATTCCGCTCGAAGATGGTGGACCGGGTGACAGCAGAAGCGATGCTTCGTGACATCTGACTCTGGGGTCAGAAGCCTCTTTCCTCTGTTCTTTCCCGAGACACCTGCCCTTGGGCCCAGTCACCGTGCGGGAAGCCCAGGCTGATCCCCATGTAGGAGGAACCAGCACCCAATGCCAGACACATAAGTGAGTCAGGTTCCAGAAGAATCTGGCCAGCCGAGACCTGATACCACAGGCAGGGCCAACCCATGCCACGTGCGTCCCGCTGCCTGGCGGCACCGCCAGCAGAGATGACCGTGGTTTTACACGGGGCTGTTTGGGAGAGTTATCTACACGCCACGTAAGTAGAACCTTTACATAAAACCACTTCCGGCATGTGCCACGCTCTCTAAGCTTCCCGAGGCCACACATTCGGGTCCCTCTGACTCTCAGAGAGCCCGCTGAGGGGCCGCCTTCTCCGTGGCGGCCGCCCCTGCCCTGTGGCCATGCTCACTTCCCACCCGGTGAGCTCTCTGCACCCGCCCGATCCTTCCAGAACAGCGGCAGCGTGAAGTGGCAGGAACGCCGGGGCGCCCAGCCAGACCCCCTGGGTGTGGGTGTGGCTCCTGGGAGAGCTGTGTGGCCTCGGGCAGTGTCCCTGGACCTCCATGCTGCCAGGACCCCTTTTCTTGGGGCTGCTGGGAGGCCGGAGGGGATGAGCACAGCCCCCGCCTTGGATGAGCCGAGCTCACAGGGAGCAGAGTCCACAGCGTGTGGCCTGCTGTTTCTGCCAGACTGTCAAGTCCCTGCAGGTAGAAACGGAGCCCACCGCCAACAACTCCCGAGGCCCGCGCTTACACCGGTAAACACGGAAGAAATGAATGATGGGCGGGGGCCAGGGATCCGGGGAGGCTCAGAGCTGCAGGGCAGGCAGCCTCGCCCACACTCAGTTCCGTGCCAGGTTCGCCCTCTTACGGGATGCTGAACAGCCTTCCCCAAGGTGATCAGACTTCAGGCCCGAAAGACAAAACCCTCCAGGGACCCCCAGGATGAAGTTCACCAGCCCCTCCGCACGGAACCACTCCCACAGGCCTCTTGCCCTCCACGGAGAGGAGCTGGCGCCTGAGCCCACACCCTTCCCTGCACCACAGACGCCAGCGTGCAGCCGAGCTCTGCTCAGCGGGTCATCCACCTCTGGGCTCAAGATCCTCCACCTTTTACCAGAGCTCTGGCCACGAGTCTGCGTAATACCAAGTTGGTGGCGATTCCATTAAAGAATCATGAGTGAGTCGGTCATGCTTTCTCAGAGAAGGGAGGCAAGACAATCTCTCCCAGATGGTCCAACCAGCCCACGCCGGACCATCTGGACAAGCCAATCCCTTCCCAGAAAGTTACAGAGCCGCCCAGCACCGGCAAGGGTGTGTAAAACAGACACGTCAACCCACCCCAGCAAAAACACAAAGGTATGCTGGCCCTGGACACAGGAAAGCACAACGGGTTGGAGTGAGGTTCTCAGCCAGAGGCCTTGTCGCCTGACTACCCTCTGGCCATGCTTTCAGTTCTGGTCCCCCCTGGAGAGGCCTCAGAGAAACAAAAAAGGGAGGGAGGGAGGGAAGGATGGAGGGAGAGAGAGAGAGACATCAATTGGTTGCCTTCCACACAGGCCACAACCTGGGTATGTGCCCTGACCAGTATGAACCCCTGAACCCACCACCTTTTGGGGCACGGGACAACGCTCCAACCAGCTGAGCCATATCGCTCAGGGCACGGCAGCCATTTAACAGACATCATAAAGGGGTCTGAGCAGCTGACAATTCACAGGTCCTTCCTTTCCAACCTGGGACTCTTGGCTTGCTTTCTCACCGGCAGCGTCTCTAACCCTGAGCAGCCTGGACAGGAAGCTGCTGTCCAAGGCACTGCTCTCCACCAGCCCCACCCGGCATGCCCGCGGAGGGACCACTGCAGCGGCACCGCCCGGGGGGCCCAGGCCTCACAGAGAGGCCCCCTGACAGGCGCCCCCGGGTCAGGAGTCCTCATCGCCCCCCACTACAGGTAAGTGAAGCACTCCGGCTGCTCCAGACACTCCTGGGCCCCCATGTTGTGCCCTGGGTGGCCCTGGCCATGGCCAGGTCACACCTAAAGCAGCCCCGGGGCCTTGCTGTCTTGGCTACACAGAAACTCTGGTTATTTGGAAAGACTTGGGCATTCTTATTGCAGATAGCTCATGGTGAGCCCGGAAAACTCTTTTTGAGCATTTGGACAGAAATCTCTGCTCAGAAAGAGGCCTCAGGACAGGCTTTGCTCTTTTCTCAGTGACTGATGATCACACGGACAATAACGGGCATGATGTGCTACAGCCATGGCGAGGCGGGCTCTGCCTGGGAAAGGCCCCGGGCTCCGCGATGCTGCCAAGCTGTCCCTCCTCTCCCCCCTCACCCCTGGGCCGCGCCTGCCCTTTGCCGACCCTGCTTCCTGCCCCTGGAACGCTGTTCTCTCCCAGGACCTTCTGCTGGTTTCTTCTGCAAACCTTTCTTTATTCCGAGCTCCTGAGAGTCCTGGCAGCACAGCCCGCGGGCCTCCTGTGGCCGTGTTTGCGGCCCTGGGCTGGGCTCATCCTGGCTACACTCTCTCCACCAAGAGTTTCATTTGGGGCCAGGCTCCAGGAAGCTGACCTTGTCCAAATTCTGAAACTGGGTGAACGAAGGGGCACTCTTTAATTGTTTCATCCAGGCCTATAAAATCTCTTCCCCTAACAGGAGTTCACATTCTTCGCTGAGAAATGCATCCTGTGTTCCTTCACCAAGCCTGGCACCGGGCGAGCCTGGCCTCGGCAAGCACCCAGGAATCCTGGGCCAGTTTCTTAGCCTTTCGGATTCCTTCCCACGGTTGTAAAATGGGGGTGACATGTACTCCTCGGGGCAACTGGGA